CTCTATTGATTGTCTTGCTGCAACAAATTGAAGAATTGTACTAATTTATGATACAGTCCAGGTACAAAGCCTGCTGGGTATACCTCTGCAACAGTTGCAACAGACAATGGGAATTTTTCAACAGGAAGTTTGGCTCAAGTAAAGTTGACAGTACAAAGATATAATAAAATAGTTGTCCAGCCCACAGGCACCTCATTGCCAGTTCTAGCTGGAGAGAGCCTCGGTTCCTGCATAATCCACCGTCAGAAGTCCTCCAGAGTTTGCCAAGTGTTCATGGGCTTGGTACCACATGTGCACCACTTCACCATGCAGCTGTAGGAGCCTTGTTTCTTTCTTTCTGTTTAAGCCCTCAGTGTACAAACGAACACCCAAATGTGAACAAAAAAGTGCACAAGGGTGTGTCTGAGTGGTCCATCTCCAGAAGAGATAGGGCCCTTCCCTGACCCCCCTGGGCACAGAGGCTCCGGACAGGGGCAAGGCAATTGTGTCCACCAGGCCAAAACCAGGCGGACCTATTCCTCAGAGTAGGAAATAGTTTGGGGTTTTTTGCCATCTGTGGCCTATCGGGGAAGTTTTCCCTTCATTTCTGTCCTTTTAAACACAGCAGGGACTTAGGAAAATTCTCTTCTTGTCACCAGAACCGGTGTCCACAAAGATTTACCCACTATTCCTGTTCTGGGGTCAATATAAAATTTCTGTTTACTTTTTGCCTTGGTAAAAATGGTGAGCAGGAAATGTGGGAGTCATTCACACATTCATGGCCACACACCGCCCAGATCAGTGCATTTCTGTGGTGGGTATGGCTGGGTGTTTCTGATTAGCCGCAGACAGGAAGCCTGAACCAAAGCAAGGCTGACACGGTTTGCAGCTGTTTATTTAAGGAGCAATTACATGTAGTTAGGAACAGGTGAGTGGCCCTATGTGCAGACTGTTTGCATCCAGGGCCACTCACCTGTCCTTAACTGCTGGTATTCTTTATACGCGCAGTTACATGCAGGCAACTATGGTGCCCCTCAGCCTGTCATGGATCAGTACAGTGGCTGCAGCTAATACCTAGCCCTACCTACCACAGAATGAAGCCGCTCTGGGGGGTGTGAGGTGATCTGCCATAAACGGCCGTCTGAATGATCCCATAACCACTCTGTCCAAAATTGGAAAAAAAATTTCATTTAGATACCAGACCCTGTGATTGATGACAGAGGCCAAATGGGGAACACCAGAAAGAAAGAGATTCAATTCGAGCAACTTTGACAGGTCTGGTGAAAGATTCTGAACCAACATGGCTGCTACTTTTGCATTATATTCCATAATCCACCATTGACGTGAACATGGAGCTTGTTCTAACTTCTGCAGGAAGATAACGCTGCTGAAATACTGTTACATCTCCCTCTGCTTTCTTTCCCATTGCCCCTTCTTGTAAACATAGTTCTGCTCTGCCATGTGTCACTCAGCACTGATCGTCTCCTGCAACCAAACCACCAATGACAAACTAACCTGTCTGATCGCAAATAAATAGTTCATTTTACAAGCAATTATCCCGCATGTCAGCAGTACGGAAATCCTTAAACGTGGCCGGTTCCTAATGACACCTTGCACGGTGCACTCACCAGAGAGGCTTCCTTTGCAGAGGACTTGAAGTGGACGGCTTTCGGGAGGGTAATGATGCCTTTAATATAGATACTAGGGGAATCCCCACAGCTCGACGGCCAGTACAGGTCTTTCAGCTAATAAGGAACAGAAAGAGAGTCGGATTAAATCTCCTAACATGTAAACAGACCATATTTTTCATCTCAAAATCAATGCCAATGTATTAGGATTCATGCAGTCCCTTAGGCCCGGTTCACACCTGGGCGTTTTGTAGCGCGTTCGAACGCTCTGCAAAACGCTCAAACACCGAAATCCCATTATTTCCTATGGGTATGGTTCACACCTGGGCGTATTACAGGCCTTATGAACGCGCTACAAAACGTCCTACGCCCAAAGAAGTACAGTTTCCATTGGGATACAGACAAGTAGCCCTCGGAAACGCGTGTTTGTCGCGACACGAAACGTGCGACAAACGCGCATATGTGCGATTCGTGGTTAAAAAAAACGCACGTTTCCGAGGGCTACTTGGCTGTATCCCAATGGAAACGCGCGACAAAAACGCCCCAAAGAAGCTCCTGTACTTCTTTGGGCATAGGGCGTTTTTGTAGCGCGTTCATACGGCCTGTAATACGCCCAGGTGTGAACCATAACCATAGGAAATAATGGGATTTCGGTGTTTGAGCGTTTTGCAGAGCGTTCGAACGCGCTACCAAACACCCACGTGTGAACCGGGCCTTAAAAAGAGTATGAAAGTGAACCTGTCACCAGAACACGTACTACAAAGTTGGCACACTGATTGTGACATACCGTTGTAAAAAGGGACAGCATATCCGTCTGCCTTGCCAAAATTTTTCTGTGGCACTTAGTGACCCTGACGTTAAGTTTTCAAATTGTTCCAAGGCAAATAACCGCAGATAAACCAATTATGGCGCTGAGTACAACTAAAAACATTTCACACGGGTCAAAAGAGACATTTCAGGAGCCTTTACAAGCATGAAATAATATAAATAATGTGATGGAATTGAACACTGTAAATTATATTTGATCCCTGTCAGTTTAAAAAAAGAATCCAGATCAAAGGTCTCTTCAATAAGGATTTTATACTCGCCTTTCCATCAGTCCATTTCCCCTATCCTCCCTCCGTTCCACCACTGAAGCATCTATAACAGTGGTAGTCAAACTGCAAATCCCATTAGGCACTTCCAGAGGCAGATGAATGATGGAATTTGTAGTGTCACCACAGCTGGAGGGCCAGAGTTTGGCTACCCCCTTTAAGGTTCTTCGGCATACAACATTAGTGGGCATAGTGGCTGCTTGTGTCCCCTGCCACAAGCTTTGGCTCCATCTTCCAACCTCTACATCTCTACAAGACTCGGGTTGGTGGATGGGACTACGGCACCTGGTGGGAGGGTCACAGATATCGGACACTCCCGGAAGTGTCAAATGCTGAAGAACCTTATGGAGGCTACAGTCCTGGAATGAAAGGAAGTTAGAGACACGAGCCACTGGGGAGGTGAGGATAATTCCTCTTTCTTCACAAGTACCTGTTGGTGGCTTAAAAATAACTTCAGAAGTGACAATAAAGACTTAAAGTATATGTGTTGCCCTGAAAGATCGGAGATATTTGATTTCATCTTCTATCAGGGCAGATTAACCATTCACCAACTGCTCAGTGTCTGCAACCCCTCCCTGCCAATCCCTTCACTGGCTTCCAATCGCCCAAAGGATAAGAGTCAAAATATTAGCAACCACTTACAAGGCCATCCACAACATATCTCCAACCTCGTCTCAAAATATCAACCTTTACTGTCCTCTGCGCTCCTCCCCAGATCTGCTGCTCTCTAGCTACCTCGTCACCTCCTCCCATGCTCAACTCCAGGACTTCTCCAGAGCCTCTCCCATCCTCTGGAACTCCATACCCCCACCTGTCTGGTTATCTTCTACTGTCTTTAGGTGATCCCTGAAAACACATCCCTTCAGGGAAGCCTATCCCACCTCCACCTAACAACTGAATTATCACTTTCTCAGGCAACTCCTCCCCACACAGGTATCGCTTGCCCCTTCCTAACCATCTTGTCTTAAATTGTATTGTAACTGTACTGCCTTTATATTGTAAAGCGCTGCGCAAACTGTTGCTGCTATACAGATCCTGTATGATAATATTGGTGGCCATGACCAACAGAGACACTTTGCATTCCTCCAGTTTTGTCACCTCAACTGCCCATGAAGGACACACTGTCCTTATTCAAGTAATGTATCTCCGCCCGATGTTGGGTACAGGAGAACCCTAAACTCTGAGGCTGATGGCTTCTTGTTCTTGGGGGACCAAACAAACCTCCGGATCAGTCTTATGATTCCAGTCAGTAAGAGTTTTCTTGCTGACGCTGCGTCATTCACTGTATTCGGTGGCAATGTCGTTTCTTCCTCCGTGCCAAAAAAGCTTTCAGTAATCACAAACCTATCCAAGAGGTTTAGGTGACTTCACTCTAGTGCTGTCTGTTAGACAATACAGGTGACCCGGACCTCTTATCAATGTTATTATTCATCAATCGTTTTAATGCAAGCTGTGACGTAGAGTAAACATCATTTGTTATCAATGGGGTTTTTTTCTGTCTATGTGCTCTCTAACACCCATTGGTGTCTATACACAATAGAAGGCAATGTCCACTGTCCAGTTGGTATGTAATGTTCCCCTGTGTATCTCCCAAACAACAGAACTCTATTCATTTCATTACTTCTGAGCCTTCTGCTCCCCAACCCCTGACACATGCCTGAACTCTGTCTGCTGCCTAAACATATCGAACCCCTGTGCCCAAAGCATCAGATAAGTGCTTCTTTCAACCTGGGTCTTACATTTTAGCTGGTGTGCAGGACATAATGGTTTAAAGGAGAACTATGGGGTAAGTGTTTTTCACCATAGTTCTCTTTAGGGTCACGGAAGAGGACATATACTAAAATCCTCCTGTGACCCAAAGCTCAGTATATCGCAGGCAGAGCGGCGCAGTCAGGACGGATCCTGACAATACTGTCGAGATCCAGGCAGCTGCGTGAGTGACAGCGGGCTCTGCCCATCTAGAGGCAGAGCCAGCTGTGCCCGCCCCCTCCCCCGTCCATTCCCCCAGTCAGCACTGGCGGATTGGAGCGGGGAGAGGGGGGACTCCCTGTGGTGAGTGGTGACTGACAGTTACCACTCACTGCAGGGAGACGATCGAGAAGTGAGCGGATCGGCGGCATGTTTCTGCTCACTTCCCGATCAATAGAGCCGACCTGTGACAGCTTCTTTGTCACAGGTCGGCAAAATGAGGATGAGTGAAAAACACTCACCTCATAGTTCTCCTTTAATGCAAAGAAAGACTGCAGAACATTACATATGGCACAGTTTTAGAGTTTTCCTGCAAACCTCACACAGCAAAATGCTGGCTGCTACATTCTTACTTGTAACACTGTGATCCAGATTTGTTCCACGGCAGTGACGTATCGCAGTCTGAAATTCAGCCTTCCAAATTCCCGCTCGTCTCCAGACAATGTAATTGTGTCTGCAGCAAAGAAGAGTCTCTTAATATAGCAGTTTACAATGCTATAATTGTCCTAGTAAATGTTAAAACTGTTCTCCAGACAGCTATAAAAATACACTTCACTCCCGGGATGGACTACATTCTCAATACAAACTGGCAAACTGGTAAACTAAACGTTTATTGTAGTCCATCCCGGGAGTGAGCTTGGAGAGGTGACTACTTTACACACACTGGGACCATGTAGAACACAAGTAGCCCCCCTCCAGAAGGAAGGACGGTGTCGGCACCAATTCAGAGATGATTGGAAGATCTACAGCCGAGTGATACACAAATAAGATACATTGTTGGTTATTGTTAAGTTACGTAATATTGCGCAACATAAAAATTTTCAACTACCACCATTTTATTCTATAGGGTCTTGGCATTCAGAAAATATATAATGTTGGGGGGTTTTACGTCATTTTCAGGCCTAAAATGTGGAATATAACATGGGTGCAAAAATTGAAAAAAGGGCCTCAGTCATGAAGGGGTTAATTCAGAGGAATCATGGACATCCCTTATGGATGAGGAACTTTGTAAATGTTGAGATCAGTGAGATGTATGTTGAGTCTGCCTATGAATTGCAGTGAAGGTTCCCAGCATATTTATTTTGTTAGCCATGAGCCAAGCTGTGGAAATCAAGCAGATTTCTGGTCTTACCGAGGCTGCGGTTACTCCCTTGTGAATCTTTCCTGGAGGAATTGCTGCTTCGGACGCTGGAGACCGAATCGTATCTCTGAAAAATAATATAACCGATATTGATCGTTGACAGCGGAATCGCATACAAGGCAACTGATTCTTACTGCTATTAGATTTGTAAAGTAATTCGCATAATGCTATGAACTCCCCAACCGTGCTGTGTTATATGGCTGAATAAAATAACCAAGGGGTCACTCAGGGTGATGGAATGCCGGCAGAGAGAGAAGGGGACGTTCACCTGGAGGGATAATGTATGCTGCCGGGTCTCCTCCTCCCTGCTGCAACTGGCGGGCTCTTGGTCCATGACCGAGTGCCCGAGTTTTCAGAGGGGGTGACACCAAAATGACAGGTGTCACCCACTCCATTGGTGTCACCAGGGTGCTGGCACTTGGTCATTGCCTGTTTGTTGGGCTCTATCAGCACATTAGGCACTCCCACCCCAGACTCTTTCCCTTCTGTAAGACCACTTAAGGACTTCCTCAACCACCTCTAGCTTACAGAGGGTGCAGCCCCTCATCAACACCCCCCCAATCCCCCGCGTGCCCAAAACATTCTATCTCCGTTCCACCCCTCTGCTCAGTGGCCGGGGTTTCAATAGTTTCTCAATAGTTTCTGAAATCCTGTATTTGCGTAGGGCATGGCATGCCCAACCCCACATGTGACAATGCTTAGGCAATGGCAGTAGGCAGAAACACTGCATTGGGGGGGGGGTACATGTGTACCCCATGCTCTAGTGCCTCAGGTTTTGGCAGTGAAAATTCACACTACATAATAGGCTGTAGATGGAGCAAATATTTCCTAGCACACTTACCAGTTAGCCTGCAAAAAAAAAACATTTTCCCTTTTGTACTGTGAAGCCCTTCCACGTGTTCCATGCAGGGGCGTCCCGAGGCTGTGTGACACCCGGAGCGGTAACCGAGTGTCACGCCGCCGAGACGTCACGGCGCCGGCAGAGAGAGGAGGGGACAGTCACACGGCGGGATAAGGTATGCCGCCGGGTCCCCTCCTCTCTCCTGATACTGTCAGGCGTTCCATGACCGAGCACCCGACTTTTCAGAGGGGGGTGACATCAAAATGACTGAGTCATTTTTGTGTCACCCGGGTGCGGGCCGCACCCCCCTTGTGATGCCACTGGTTCTATGTGCACCTTTTAAAGTTGGTTATGAATTGATGAGTGTGCTTGCCATTTGTATTGCATCTTAGTACATATAGCACAGAACGTGTGTGAGTTACGTAGGCCGCTCTGCCCTGAACATCTTTCAATCAAGTATTTTATTCCATAGAAGCCTCCGGTTAGAACATGTCCAATTATTTCAGACTATCTATATCTTTACCTGAATAAGACTGCTCAGATCATACATGGAAGTGCTGAGGCCGGGAGAATCGGGTGTTTTTATGTTCCTCAAGTCACAGACTGAAATAGAACCAGAGATAAAAGGTTTTAGTTACAACATTGAGTTACTCCCAGCGGATACAGAGAAGACCGGGAGACAAAAGCCTGGCAATCCTTGATTGAACACTAATTCTGTTATGTTCAGCTACTTCACAAATAATAAAGTTGTACAGAAAATTATCCACACATCTGCAATAGCCATGTGCGATTCGTTTCGTTCCGAATCAAAATTCGGACAAATTTTCCGAAATTCGGACACATGCAAATTTCCGAATCCCAATGCGTCCGAATCCGCATTTCTGTTTCCAAATTTCAGAATCCAGTCTGAATTTCGTTCAAAAACTAAACTGAATCGGTCATGTGACTTTTCTGGCCAATCGGATGTGTTTTTCGCTTTAAAGGAGAACTATGGGGTCAGGGCTTTTCCCCATAGTTCTCCTTAGGGTAACGGGAGGACACAAACTAGCGCCCTCCCGTCACCCTGGGCTCAGTATATAGGGAGCTGTAGCTCGCGGTATACTGAGACGCCGCAGCTGAAGCGGATCCCGACAATTGTGCCGGGATCCGCCCAGCTGCGTGACTGACAGCTGGCTCTGACTATCTAGAGGCAGAGCCAGCTGTACCCGCCCCCTCCCCCGTCCGTTCCGCCAGTCAGCGCTGGCCGATTGAAGCGGGGAGGGGGGAATCCAGCCCCTCCCCTGTCACGGCAGAGAGCCGTGACAGGATCGAGAGTTGAGCGAACGCCGGTATGTGTTCGCTCACCTCCCGATCTACTGAGCCGACCTGTGACAGTCTCGTTGTCACAGGTCAGCTAGAAATATGAGGTGAGTGAAAAGCACTCCCCTCCATAGTTCTCCTTTTAATGCATCCGAATGGGTCTGAACATGAACTTTCGTTATGGCAACATGGGAGCCATAAACAGTATATACATATAATTTTTTTTTTCGAAGCCCGTGGACGTGCATCAAAACTTCCCCCTGTGAACAAAAAAAGTGAACCGTGAAATCACAGCACACAAAAAACGTGCACAAGGGTGCAAGGTCCTTCAAAAGAAGGGACCTACTTTCCCGACCCCCCGGGGCGCAAGGCTCCTGACAGGGGTTGAGACTGGTGGTCCACCAACCCGAAGGCCGTGGACCATTTCCTATGGGGCCCTGCCGAAACAGGTCCCCCTCAGTACTAGGCAAGTGGGATCTCCCGAAGAGAAACCCACCTCCTGGGTGGGAGGAGACAGAGAACCCCATTCGAGGCACAGAATCTCCTCCCAGCGTCAGGAATAGGCCCCGAAGAAACCTGCACCTTTCGCATCTGTGGGTCAAATAGTAAAATAAAAAAGTGCCAATTCGTGCATAGAGTGCATAAATAAATCTAAAGTGCCAGTGCACCACTCTGACAGGCCTTAGGGGCCGGAGTGCAAAAATATTGCCCCAGACTAGCCATAAGGCCTGTCTTGGAGGCGAAGTGCAGAAAATTGCAATGTGGTGTGTGACCAAGTGCAAAGTGAGTCATGTGGGGTCCCATACCCAAGTGACTTTCTGCGCACCCCTGGGACGCCACCCCCAGGGGGCACAACACCACGGGCTTCTGCCGCCCCCGAACCCTCGAGCCTCGACCAAGCTTCGCATCTTATTCAGTCAGTAGGCAATAGTGCCGAGGAAACACCCCCCCCCTCTAAAAGGGAGTCGCCTCAAGCACCTACCTTCACTCCTGAGAGTACTAGGCAACCGTCCGTCCCAAGGACAGTCCATGCTTTTCCCCTCTAGAACTGATAAGAACAGATACTACACTTGATCTTAGCCAAAAGGCAGAGAAGCCTTTATAATATACATATATTACTAAAGCTGAGGCTCCCAGACCCAAAATGGCATTCTTGACCCAAATTTCAGAATTGCATTCAGGGAGCTACTGAATGCCATTCGGGTCTGGGAGACTCAGCTTTAGTAATATATGTATATGGCTCCCAGACCCGTATTGCTTTCTGGAGCTTCCCTAATGCAATTCGGAAATTCGGATCCAGAATGCCATTCGGGTCTGGGAGATTCAGCTTTAGTATTAATATCTGTATATGGGTTTCTGTGGTATTTGCAACGAATATTCATAAAACTCATCCGAAACGTGATTCGGATTTGGTCCTAATCCGAAACCTGAACCGAATTAAATTCCGGATCTGAATCCCGAATTCTGAAATAACGAAATAACCGAATCAAATTTTTCTGCGGCTTACATGTCTAGTCTGCAACAAGTTATTTATTTGTTTTAAAGGAGAACTATGAGTGCTTTTCACTCACCTCATAGTTCTAGCCGACCTGTGACAATGAGACTGTCACAGGTCGGCTCAGTAGATCGGGAGGTGAGCGAACACATACTGGCGTTCGCTCACCTCTCGATCCTGTCACGGCTCTCTGCCGTGACAGGGGAGGGACTGGATTCCCCCCTCCCCGCTCCGATCCTCCAGCGCTCCAGCTGGCGGAACGGATGGGGGAGGGGGCGGGTACAGCTGGCTCTGCCTCTAGATAGGCAGAGCCAGCTGTCACTCACGCAGCTGGGCGGATCTCGACATCGATGTCGGGATCTGCTCCGGCTGCGGCGTCTCAGTATACAGGGAGCTGTAGCTCCCTATATACTCAGCCTAGGGTGACGGGAGGACACTAGTTTGTGTCCTCCCGTTACCCCAAGGAGAACTATGGGGAAAAGCCCTGACCCCACAGTTCTCCTTTAATTTACAAGGAGATACCTTTCTGCAAAAGATACTTCCTTTCTATGTTGCTCCATGACTGCCATCTGCCAGGTATACAAGTAAACGATTCAGCAGCTTGTATTTTTTATTCATCTGAGTAACAGAAATTGTCCTTTTCTTGTTTTTTTTTTGACTATCTTGTTATTTCCTTATACACCTGACCACAAAGAAACATTGAATTAATGTTGCACTCCGGCTTTGTCATTCCTCTGTCTGAATGTGCAGCAGCATTCATAGTCCTGTGTGAGCTGTTCAAACATTGTCATGATTAATGTCCGAATCATCAGAGGAAAGTCATCGCTCGTTATTTGCTGTAGATTGCTGTGTGGACAGTGTATCAGGGAAACCGGATGAAGGAAGTCATAATGTAGCTGTAATCTCTATTCACCACAATGTGACTGTCGCATAAGTAGAAAGTATTAAGCGAGCATGGCCCTTTGAACTCGAAATGGAATACTCGCTTCTCCTGCCGCTCTCGCTATTAAACTCAGCACCACTACTGAGAAGTGGTCCCCTAAAAAGCGGGCTACCCCCACAATGCAAGGGTTAACTGCTCATTTTTGTCCAGGGGACCTTTTGTAAAGGGCTTTTTCTTACCCGATCCTCACTGGCTCCAAGACCAGCACCTGCAGCCTCTTTTTGCCCGGGGATTGGAGGCGAGCTGATGTCCTAACATTTTAATGCAGGCGTCATAGCCCTTTATTATACATGAGGAAGCCGAGGCACAGTCCACGAGCCTGAGCAGTGGGGAGAGAGGGGTGTATCGGGGGAGCGGGGTTCAGGTAAGTAAAACCGCTTTACATTGGTCCCCTAAACAAGCAGTTGACCCTTGCAGTGTAAGTGTGGCTCGATGGGGTTGGGGGGACGGTCCCTGGCAAAATTAGGCTTTAAAGGGATACCAGAGCCAAAAGGTTTTACGCCATACCAAATGCTGATGAGATCACTTACAATGGATGCTGTGCCTTGATGTTTCAAAGTATTAGTTTCCTGCAGAATCAGCCGGTCCCCTGATTACTGGCTCTGATATCCTATTTTAGTTGGGCTACTTTCACTTGCAGGGTCCTATGGAGCCACCCTTAAGCTGTGGAAACACACAGGAACAACAGTGCAATCCACTCTCCTGCTCCCTCCTCCTCCCCACTACCACCACATCCTGAGTAGAAACGCCTGCCCCCTGCCAGCATGCTGTAGAGAAAATCCCTATGCTCTCTGAGGGAAAGCCGTAGTCTCTTTGCAGGTTTCTGGCACACCCCGTGCTGATTCAGAGCTCTCTAATCAGCACGGCCCATGCTCCCCGCTGATTGGAGAGCTAGTTCTGACTTAGGGGTTCTATCAGACCTCTGAGAGACCACTGCTTCCACACTGAACGCAAAAACCCTTATTAGAGCATGCTGGGATGGGACAGGACTTGTGCAGAGATACCTCTGCTTTCACACAGACCGCAAGTGTCTTTATCTGCAGCATGCTAGGAGGGGGAGAGGACCTATGCAGAGGGACCTCTGCTTCCACACTGAACACAAAAATCCTTATCAGAGCATGCTGGGATGGGACAGGACTTGTGCAGAGATACCTCTGCTTTCACACAGAGCACACATGTCTTATCTGCAGCATGCTCGGAGGGGAGAGGACCTATGCAGAGGGACCTCTGCTTCCACACTGAACGCAAAAATCCTTATTAGAGCATGCTGGGATGGGACAGGACTTGTGCAGAGATACCTCTGCTTTCACACAGAGCACAAATGTCCTTATCTGCAGCATGCTAGGAGGGGAGAGGACCTATGCAGAGGGACCTCTGCTTCCACACTGAACGCAAAAATACTTATCAGAGCATGCTGGGAGAGGACCTATGCAGAGGGACCTCTGCTTCCACACTGAACGCAAAAATCCTTATTAGAGCATGCTGGGATGGGACAGGACTTGTGCAGAGATTCCTCTGCTTTCACACAGAGCACACACGTCCTTATCTGCAGCATGCTCGGAGTGGCTGTGCTGTACTACTCAGGCTGTGGCTGCTTTCTAAAATACATTTTAAGACTTTGCACAGCTTTTGTTTTGCTGCACCAGGAATGTATTAAACTGAAAATGTAAAGTTTAGTTGGAATCTCCCCTTGTCCTCTACCACAGAATATCCCTATTTTCCAGCTGCTAAGGCATTCAGCAGTGGCTTTGGATCAAGGTCCAGTTCTTCCCCTTGAAATAAGCCGTCTCTGGGTATTTTACCTGAGCCATACATCCTGGCAACATCTGGGCTCAGTGTTCCACGTCTGCTCAGATCGGGTGAGATGTCCTGCGGGAGGTAGCCCGGATTGTACACCACTTCGAAGTTTGCTCCGTACTGGTAAGCGGCAGACAGTTCAGTCTTCCTGTCTGTGAATGTGGCCCTTGCAGATCCTGAGTGACAGAAGGTAAAGTCATCACTCAGATGTGTGAGTCACAAGATGCGGACTTACCGCTGACATTGCAGAGGATCAGCATGACGTAAAGGCAGAAAAGAATGACAAACCTATTGTCCTGTACATCTTCATATTGTTTGTATAGGCGGTGTTATCCCTTTCACCGGAAAAGGTCTCGGGTGTCGGGTGGATGATGACTGAGCCCAAATATTTTTGAAGGATTTTATTATTAAAGTAGCCCAACATTTGTTGTAGTTTTAGATATCGTGGGGAAGTGTTAGGACCCCTGTCAGGTGTCCTCGCTGGGGAGACGCAGACAATCAATAGCCCCAAGGACAGGAAGTGATGGGAACCTAAAACTTTACTGGGATTGTAGGTTAGGGCAGTGGCGTCACGCGGGGGGTGCGGCCCGCACCCAGGGCAGCCATCAGAAATTTTGGGGCCCCTTACACGGCTTTAGGCCGGGCCCTACCCCCACCCGCCGCTGGACGCAGGTCTTAGTGACGCGCTGGACGCAGGACCCACCTGAGAGTGACTCTGCAGAGCCCACCATAGATGCTGCACAGCCCATCTGTGACTGTCTATGGTGGGCTCTGAAGGGGTCTCAGGTGGGCTGGTCAGGGCTGCATCCCTCACTCCCTCCTTTCCTTCCTTCCTTCCTAGCTCCTCTTACCTGCACACATGGCCTCATCTGCTGCACTAACGTGACGTCACTTCCGGCCAGTCCGACATCAGACGAGCAGCGCCGCTGATGGGGTCAGGCCTCCGCCTCCTCGCCCTTCACCGTTGGTCGATAGTCATGTAAGGGACCCGGGCGGGCCCCCCAGGCTGCCCGGGCCCCTTACATGAGTATCGGCCGTACCCCCCTGATGGCTGCCCTGCCCGCACCCGAGTGACACCATTGGAGGGGTGACACCAAAATGACCGACAGTCATTTTGGTGTCACCCCCCTCTGAAAAGTCGGGCACCCGTCAGTTTCGGGAGAGAGGAAAAAGATATATGAAACAACAGATGGGGATTCTAACCCTTTTCTATTCTAGTGATTGAAAGGGTCAGGGTTGGGCATCAGAATCACTGTTGGGACTAGGGTTGCCACCTTTTTCTTCCGTCGAAACCCAAACACTCTAGTAATGCACGGAATTTTTGGTAGGAGACTGAGTTGCGGCTTTTTCATATGTAAATATAGCCACCCATTCATATGTAAATATCACAGTCAAGACTATTTTCATTGGGGGGGGGGCAGTAGCCCCTATTTTAATTTTGGTTGCCCCTGTCTGCCTGACCTCTTGTGTCCGGGATTCAGCTGCCATAAACCCGGACACAGCATTCAAAACCCGAACTGTCCAGGTGAATCCCGGTCAGGTGGCAACCCTAGTTGTGACACAATCCTTAGGCAGTTCTGACACAAAGCTGTCAAGAGACAACAGGCACCTGTGTACAGAGTCGCCTTCACTGGAAGCAACAGATACGTAGAGTTGCTCGGAGAAGATTTTATCCCTTTTTACTTGCACAGAAAACAAACTTGCCTTTTAGTCCTTCCATGTGGGTGGGGCTGGTCAGGTTTCTCGGCTGAATATAGGAGGGGGTGAACGCCGGAACCACAAATGGGACGTCTCTTCCGTCTGTGGGCAGCTTGGAAAGCAGATAATCCTCCGTACAGCCGACTTGCCGTTTTATTGATACAGCTGACATCGGAGGGAGGTCCACGATGTGCGATCCTTTCCTGGCGGCCTCTACACATCCTGAGTCTGGCAAGGCTGGAAAGAGCAGAACATGTCAAACAGAGGATTTGTACATATACCGTACCATTGAGATAATAGAAAAGAATATGCACATGTATTGTATATGTAACGGAATTCTTAAAGGAGAAGTATGCGGCGGGTGCTTTTCACTCACCTCATAGTTCTAGCCGACCTGTGACAATGAGACTGTCACAGGTCGGCTCAGTAGATCGGGAGGTGAGCGAACACATACCGGCGTTCTCTCACCTCTCGATCCTGTCACGGCTTTCTGCCGTGACAGGGGGAGGGGCTGGATTCCCCCCTCCCCGCTCCGATCCGATGTCGGGATCCGCTCCGGCTGCGGCGTCCCAGTATACCGCAAGCTGTAGCTCACGGTATACTGAGCTTAGGGTGAGGACGCTAGTTTGTAACCTCCCGTTACCCTAACGAGAACTATGGGGAAAAGCCCTGACCCCATAGTTCTCCTTTAAGGGCACATTGTTCACCCCCCTTAAAGGAGAACTATGGGCAAACTGTTTTTGGACAAAAAGTTCTCTTTTGAGTAACATTGAGTACATTTCCTAATATACTCCTGTGACCCAAAGCTCAACATTTAGCAGGTTATTGCCCGATGTATGCTGACAGCACAGAGCCACATTGCAGCCGGGTAAGATCCCAACAATGTTGTTGCGATCCACCCCTCTGACTGATTGACAGCTGACTCTGCCTCTCTAGAGTCAGAGGCAACTGTGCCCGCCCCTTCCCGTCTGTCCCTCCAGTCAGCGCTGGAGGAATGGAGAGGGGAATCCCTGCAGGGAGTGAAAACATATACAGTATGAAATAAATATAATGGAGTTTATCTGCTAAAGGATTTGTATTTCTGGCCATCTTATCCTGAGATTTGCAGAGCACATTCCTGTTTTGGCAGGACAGGAGACCTGATTTTTCTTTGCAGCAGCTCAGTACCACTTACAGGACTTGTCCCTACCCCAGCCTGTGATTGGACAGTGAAAGGAGAAGCAGCAGACTGATGAGCTCATCTCTCTGTCAATATACTCTTCCCGCCTACGAGCATGCTTCCTGCACTGCGGCACAAATGAGTGGCTTCTTGTGCTACTTCCCACTCCCCTGAAAGAGGCTGATACCAAGTCAGATTCAGGTACTTACTCTGATGCATTATTGAACACAGGTTTGCATTGGTTTGTATCTTTTACATCTACCTGGAGTTCACCTTTTAGGAGCTCCCTGTAGAATGTGCTTGCCATGCCTCCTGCGGGGATGAATAACATGGCCTCCAGCACTTCTAAAACACAGCTGGTTTCTTTTGATGACCCATGCAATCTTAGATTCAATATTTGAAGATAGACGTTCTGCAGTTTTAGTTCATGAAAATGTCGTACGTTCCAACACTCCCCATCTGACCTTCCCTCTCCGTGATTAGTCAAGAGAAAGAGAGCATGTTAGTATGGGTGGGGTGGCTTTAGAGACCTGGAGGGTGAGTGGTTGGGTTTCTGGTCTCTCTGAAGAACAGGTGAATGAGAAGTTGCTCTGTTATCAAGGTTCCTGCGACCATGGAGGAGTATGACCACAGTGGCTGAGCTCCCCCTACGAGAGATGTTGAGCGTGCCTCCTCTGTAGAGTTGAGGTGAGAAGGGGAGTCACTCCATGCGGAATAATTGTCCGAGGAGAAAGTGTTCCTCTGGAATGTTAGCTCATGCTGTGAGACTTAAGGTGACCACACACCTTACGATTATCGGACGATTTTCCTATGCGATCGACTTTTTCGGCCAATAATCGTATGTGTGCATAGCAGTGTCCGACCGACATTACTGTACAAATCGTACGACTTTTGACGGTCAAGCATGTTTGAAAACTTTGCTAGATCGTACGATTGTCGTAAGGTTGCTGGCGTTTCCGTCCGTCAAAAGTCATACGATCTACACTGCGCTTGCGCTACTGAAAATACGGCAAATCAATTACCGCATTTCGTCCAGGTGCTTTTCTTTAATTACGGCTAAATTATTCTTGCGATCATCGGGGCAGGATGGGGCTGCCGTAGGAAAATCGTACGACTATTCGATCATCGGACGAAACGTTTCGTCCGATAATTGTAAGGTGTATGGGCACCTTAATGCTGGAACTTTGACATGGAGAATTGCTTTTGGGTGTTCTGCGCAAAACAAAGTTCCAGCAAAGAGATGGTTCACAAGTTGCCTACACCTGTGCAGGGCCGGATTTACTCTCCCTACCGCCCCAAGGCCAGGTTCCGTAATATGCCCCCCCGCCAACCATCCCCCCTCCCCATTAATGGAGAATGGCGGCGGGGTTAGTTTACATTTTTTTTACTGTTTCTTTATTTTTTGTAACTTTTTTATCATTTTTAATTTAATTATTTCTTCTTATTTTTTTAATTTTTATTTTTGTTAAATATTTTTTTATATTTGTATTTATCTTATTTACTTTTTTATAATTTTTTTATCTTATTGTTTATTTTTTATAATTATTTTCTTATTTTTTAATAATTTTTTTTCAAAATCAATTACATTTTTTTCCCCACCTAACGTTATTGCTATCACACAGGAGATAACAATCCCCTGTGTGATAGCAATTGGAGGGGCCAGGTTCTCTTTATTGACCCTGTCACCTCCAATACAGGAGTTCTAGCACAAATCTGTGACAGGTGAGAGAGGAAGAGCACAGCACAGCTCTCCCCTCTCACTGTCTACACGGAGCGTAACGGCAGGGGTACTTTTAACCCTGCCGCTCTGCTCACTGCGCCGGAGGACGGAACCAGAGGAGAGAGGTAAGTGCAGGGGGGGAGTGGAGGACGGACCGGCCAGCTGCAGACTTTTTACATGTCATCTCGGCGACATCGCCGAGATGACATGTAAACGAACATTCGGCTTCCTCATTGCGGGCGCCTGCGCCCGCAACTTCCCCACAAGGACACCGCTGTCTCCCTCTGCGCCCTGCCGCCCCGAGGCCGGGCCTCGGTGGCCTTGTGGGAAATCCTGGCCTGCACCTGTGTGGACATAGATTGATCCTTACGCACCATAAGAAACAACTGATCTGAAGGTAATGTGAATGCTTCAGTAGGAGCAGGAGGCTGACCAATGTTACAGGGAGGACCACAAATGTGGCAGCAGTATTCAGGAAGCCTGGGAGAGAAATGGATGGCCTGTCCGTCAAGTGGAACCGGAGGAACCCGTGGTCTGGTGGCATCTTGTTCCAGAGAGAGAAGAAGAGGAAGTAAGAAGAGTCAGGCACACAGAATAAGTGAGACCCAACTGGGGGGCCGCGGTGTGAGGTGCTCGCAGGGAATCATCTAAATAAAAACTCCTGCTAGTAAAACATTTTTTCATGTGGCTGGTGTTGCTCTTTAAATGAATCCTATAGCGCAGAGCTGTGTTAACAGTCTGGAATAGATACATTAAAAGTAAGATAAGGGTGAATATAATTATTTCCTGCTTCTTCAGGATAACTTGGTATTCGGATTGTAGTTCACCACTTTCATACAAAAAAAGCAGTTCTTTTGCTAGAGACCTTTAAACAGTTAAATCTGAGCAGGAAGACTGAAGACAGCAGCAGATCATAGCGGAGGAGGACGGATGAGACACTGTTAGGCGGTGCAGCGAGGTGATAATATGTGTGTACTCTATGTACTCCTTTAGTAAATAGCTGTGCAAACCTGGACTCTCCCAGTCAGCCACATTTGTACAGCGAGAGGTTACATCACCTGCGTCACGGGTACAATGTCACTAATGACATTTTAATACGTCTTCAGCTGGCACAGAGACAGGGCTGGATTTCCTGCTGCAAATTACATATGAGCACAGCTGATGGAGATTAACCAATGGGACACAAGGGGATTCTTCCTATACTTTTGAGATGGAGAAAGGGACGACTTTTTAGAGTCAAACTTTTTCGATATCAACAAAAGACATGTCCTTACCTCACTCGGCATGATACGTCCATCAGTTCAAATAGCATAGAAGGACCATAAATTGTTCTTTTGCGAAAGACGCATTTCCATATATGTGAACTGTTTAAGGGTGCCTTACGATAGCCGTACGATAATTGCAGGAAATCCCGCGGTCGTACGATTATCGTAAGGTGTGTGGAAGCCGTGCGACCTCTGCTACTGTAAGGTGGCACGACTTTAAACTTACGAACATGTTCGAAAACCCACCGAGCATCGTACGATGTTTGGCGGGTGTGTGGCATGTTCGTAAGATAAAAGCCGGACGGGCCGGTGTGCGCAAGCGCACACTGCCCGTTCGGCATTGCGGTCATCGGAAGCCCGCCCCTCAGGGGGGCGTGGCTTTGCGATCATCACAAGTACGATCTGCCTGTCCAAGATAGGCAGATCGTAGTCTTGCGATGGTTGTAAGGTGTGTGCCCAGCATTACTTGCCAAAATATCTGGCAATGAGCAGAACTCCAGCCATAACCATCATTGTAACTTTTGAATAAAGCTGGGACGGCTTCAAACTCCTGGATTTTTTTTTTTCCTCGCAAATCAGGTTTTATTGTAAGATATTCAGGTGTTACAGACAATATATTTTTTTACCAATATTATCAGGCAGGTTTATGATTACATGAGATGGGCCTTTATGTCTCTCGATGGAGGATAAAGTCAACAAGTGGGACATGAGGTCATGGTCACGGACTGAGATGGCTTGTAATGTATCCTGAGCAGTAATCTGATGGTCTTTAGTGGTATTATTATAGATGGGCGCACCTGCCTGGCCCAGGGGTTTCCTCCCACCCACGTTGAACCCATGAGAAAAATGATAAGGGCATAGCCAGCGTAAGAGTTTAGCCGCAGCTGAGTTTCTTTCCACTTCACTGATAAGAGACGGCTGGGTCATACTGACATGCAGCTTAAAGTGACACTAAACTCAGCAGTTAAATCTGAAAAATACATTCAGGTACCTTAAAGGAGAAGTATGAGGCGAGTGAAAATCACTCAGCCTCATAGTTCTAGCCGACCTGTGACAATGAGACTGTCACAGGTCAGCTCAGTAGATCGGGAAGTGAGCGAACACATACCGGCGTTCACTCACTTCTCGATCCTGTCCCTGCAGAGAGCCGTAAGTGCCACTCACGGCTCCCTGCAGGGATTCCCCCGCTCCGATCTTCCAGCACTGACTGGAGGAACGGACGTGGTGGGGGGTGGGTACAGCTGGCTCTGCCTCCAGATAGGCAGAGCCAGCTGTCACTCACGCAGCTGGGTGGATCCAGACAGTAATGCTGTAGCTCTCTATATACTGAGCTTAGGGTGACGGGAGGACGCTAGTTTGTGTCCTCCCGTTACCCTAAGGAGAACTATGGGGAAAAGCCATGACCCCATAGTTCTCCTTTAACTATTAACAAAAATATCCTATTTGTGTATCACTCGGCTGTAGATCCTCCAATCATCTCTGAATGGGTGCTGACACTGTCCTTCCTTCTGGAGGGGGGCTACGTCTGTTCCCCATGGTCCCTGTGTGTGTTGTAAAGTAGTCACCGCTCCAAGCTCGCTCCCGGGATGGACTACAATCTCAATGCAAATTAGTAAACTAGACATGAGATTGTAGTCCATCCCAGGAGGGGGGGGAGCTTGGTGCGGTGACTACTTTACAACACATCGATAATAGGAAATCACCTGCACTCCATGCAGCGTACAGACCTTGAGTAAAAGGTTGGTGCTCGAAGTGACAACACGGATGGCGCCATGTCAGATACAGTCCATAATAGAAGTCACCAGCACTCGATGATGTGTGCACGAAGTAAAGCACTTTTTATTCAATCGTCACATGCGTCAAACAGACAACGTTTCGGGGGCCACGCAGGGTCTCTTCTTCTGGGCGACATAGTGATTTACATAGCGGATTTAGAAATAAATCAACTATGCAGATAGTGTCCTGGCTGGGATCCGAATCCATGACCTCAGTGCTGCAAGGTCCTATGCTCCCCTCTCAGCACAGGTTTCCTATTAATGTGTGGGAAAGGTGTGATGGCATTGCAAGTAAGAACGGAAAAAGCCGAATTTAAACATTATAACAAATGCAAGACAAGCATGGGCAGCGTATGCAAGCAAGTAATAATAACAGTCCATTAGCGATGCTTGGTAATAATCCGTCACACTCACCTTTCTTCTCTTCGCTTTGAAAACACCCTTCGCAGCAACTTTTTATAAATTCCGCCGCCATCCTAGGCGTAGTTGGCTGTAATCCGCGGATCAGAGGCCGGATGCCCCGTAAATCAGTCCTAATAATCGGAGGGAGACACTTTTAAAGCGTTTGGCAGTTTAGACAACACGTAAAAAAACAAACATATTGTACAAAAATAATGGCATTTCAACAGCGACCCGTGCGAAGTGAAGAGGCGGGGCTATGCAAATGAGCCACAGAGTTTGTGTGCATTTGGCTCAGTGATGGAAGAGATAAGGAAATAAGAAAGGATAGAAGAATCGAGCCATGAATCATGCGATAATACAAATACCTGTCTTATCTCAGAGGGATTTCGACAGACTGGAAGATTTAGCTGTTGAGACATAGGACTGGAATCAAATGGACACAAACGAAAGGGCAGGAAAAGGGCTTCCCGAAAGACAAAGGGAGAGAGAGAGCGTGAACCTGCCCAGCTGGCATGCAGACAGCAAAACAAAACAAAAAAACATGACGGGGGACGTCCTGAAAATGAAAAGACAGGTTCTCTTTAGAGCTGAACTCTACCTAACTTTCATTTAAACTTCCATTCCACTCTTAACTTCCAGGGGCAGAGACAAGAGCAGTCACCCTGCACAATGAGAGAGATAGCAGCAGTGAGTGGTCTTTATTACAGGAGGGGGCGGAGACAAGACCGGTCACCCTGCACAAGGAGAGAGAGCAGCAGTGTAGGGTCTTTATTACAGGAGGGGGCGGAGACAAGAGCAGTCACCCTGCACAAGGAGAGAGAGCAGCAGTGAGCGGTCTTTATTACAGGAGGGGGCGGAGACAAGACCAGTCACCCTGCACAAGGAGAGAGAGCAGCAGTGAGCGGTCTTTATTACAGGAGGGGGCGGAGACAAGACCAGTCACCCTGCACAAGGAGAGAGAGCAGCAGTGAGCGGTCTTTATTACAGGAGGGGGCGGAGACAAGACCAGTCACCCTGCACAATGAGAGAGAGAGCAGCAGTGAGTGGTCTTTATTACAGGAGGGGGCGGAGACAGGACCAGTCACCCTGCACAAGGAGAGAGAGCAGCAGGGAACAGTCTTTATTACAGGAAGCTCCCAAGTCTCACACTGGATTACTGCACAGATCTGGAAGAAATACACAAAGCTCACCGAGATTCAAGGAAGAATACACATGACTCTTGTATGAGGACGAAATCTGCCGATCCCGGAGTTCAGCTTTAAGACGGACAACAGACAAGCTTGGGACGGATTTTTTATGTTTGTTCCACCCCTGAAATGCCCAATAACCACCTTGCGTGGGCATGATGATGTCGTTATGTGACAGTATACACAGAAGCTGCAGCATTGTGTCACATCTTAAATAACACGCAGTGCAGCGTTTAAGGATGGCGGCACAGGAAACTCCTTCCGCTGAGAAAGGATTAAGTGACTCCAAACAATGAAGCACATTTGCTTGCCTTTTCAGCTTACATGATGTGTCTCCTGGCTTAGGTCCGATGGGCAGTCACAAGGTTGGCGTCACAAGGGGGGTGCGGCCCACACCCGGGTGTCACCATTGCAGGGGGACGACACCAAAATGACTAACAGTCATTTTGGTGTCACCCCTCTCTAAAAAGTCGGGCACTCAGTCATGGACCGAGACCCCGACAGTGTCAGGAGTGAGGAGGGGACCCGGCGGCATACCTCATCCCGCCGGGACAACGTCTTCTTCTCTCTCTGCCAGTGTCCATCACCAAGATGACCGCCGGCATGCATCAATCAGATAGTCGCGCATGTGCGATGACGTCATTGCGCATGCACGAGGTGACGTCACGTGCGATGACGACACGGTGGGGTGACACCCGGCCTCGGGACACCCCTGGTCACCTATGCTGCAAAATAACGAAATTTGAATGCGAGGAAGAATTGCATTTTCAAAGTGCTTGCAAGCAGACAATTTTTAATGCTTGTGTAGACATACACTTAGGTCAGGAGTGGGCACACTCCGGCCCTACAAATCCCATGAGGCATTGCAAGCTGCTCACAGCCACAAGCATGACTCCCAGAGACTGATGCATCATGGAACTTGTAGCTTTACCACAGCTGGAGGGCCAGAGTTTGCACCGCTCTGACTTAGGGGATTATTCCCGCCACTAGATGGAGCCAAGGAGCACAGGCAATTCCTATGCTTCTCGGCTACATCTGGAGGTGGAAATGCTGTGCGAGTGGCTTTCACCCAGCATGTAGCTGAACGCATCATTTATCATTCATCCCCTTGCTATCAATGGACTGCGTGCTAGAAAGGAACATCCTTATTTCTGTCTGTGCGGTGACTGAAGATGACACAGTTAAGTAAACTTTCTAACCGCCAGCTCACATGGCACAGCACCAAACCTCAGAGAGGAAGTACTTCTCCACATTCCTGTCCATCACTATGACAGGAGAGTTTCCATAACCACCAAAGTGTCAACATACACAAATCTGTTCTTTAATACCAAATACGGCCAATGTTGATATTATAAAGCAGGACAGCAAATCTTCCGCCCTGTTCACTGTATTATTGCTGCGGTGTTGCACCATTAGCCTTATGCAATGCTGCGTCCCCGTCTCCCAACTATGCTCCTGTGTTGTCACGCGGGCTTTCAATGGAGATTGTGGCTTTTTTAATACTCATTACACAGACATGGTCCAATGTTGGCACCATCAGGAAACCCACCCTGAGATATGTCATGCAGCCATCGATGGAGTGTATTTGAACATTAAAGTCACACATTTTTGACTACTCCCCCGCCCAAGTTGGGAACATGAAATTGTCCCCCCCACAATGCTACTTTAAGGACTTACCTTGAATGAAGACTCTTTGATCCGATCATCTTTTTCCTCCCGCTTGTATTCAGCAATCCCTCCAGCGCTGGTGCCGGTGTTCTATAAAATTTGCCAGCTCATCAAGATCTCCAACTCGTGACGTTACCTCCGTCACAACCGACAAGATGGCGCTAGTGCGCGTGCACCAGTTTTGGCATTTTTCAAATTGACTTCCCCAGTTGCCGTAAGTGCGCCTGTGTGGCATCGCAATCCTCATCGAGTTCTCCAACTCCCGTCATATTGGACAATTTTATACTGCTCTTGGGTGGCGCACTGACGGGAGTTGGATATCTCGACAAGTTGGAAATCTCGATAGAACACCAGTCTCTGATCCAGCACAGGTTCCTGTCTCTTCCTGTCCCACGGTGTCTGTCCAATGTGCACGCTCATGGGTGTGTGCATTCAGCTCCACTGTGTCTCTCCACTTCTACCTGCTGAAGATCTTTACTGCGCATGCGCCTGCCCCATCATCGAGCGCCCGTGCAGGATGAAGCTTCAGATCTTCGGACGGGAACGAGCGGCGGAGACGCAGGTAAATTTTTACCTTTTTGGTAACTTTTATTTTTTTAAATGTTTTTCCATGTATCTACGGCTTGCTAGCAACCAAGAGCTTAATTCTACGTTAATTTAACATTTAACCTTAATCCCCAAACCTCAACCCAACCCACATCTGTCACCTTGCATATCCCCGATCCGTTCTATTGCCAAAAAAAACAACGCCATCGTATATCAGTGACATTTCTGTCCACCAAGACAATGCTGAAACACCTGTGCCAATATTTCTGCATTGAACACAGCTGAATCATTTCATTTGGAAACTCTGCACATCAGAGCTATGATAACATGTTGCTGCAATATTTCTTCTCGCTTTTTGATTTTTTTCACATTTCCTTTTTGTCTTTTTCGTCCCCCCCGCTCGCGTGCAAATTAAAGGGAGAACCTCGATTTTTCCATTCGCTGGCGGAAAGGGTGTAACTAGCGTTCACAGGTGCTGTGGGGGACAAACGCACAGGATGCTCCGCACGTGGGAAAGAGAACCTGTCTCCTAGGCTCGTCTGACTGGCCATGCCATTGTTTATCCAAGCATCAGTAGAATGAGAGAATAAGGACAAAATGGGCTGCGCTAAGCTCCCACTCCCAGCTGTGTAATCATTCACTGAGCCTGTAATAACACGCGGGAAATAATTGGGATTAAATCAGCGTGTGTGTGTTTGTTGAGACTGAAATTTTGGTTGAATAACAAAGTTGCTAAGATGATTGATGAAACCACACGAAGAGCGGGCTGTTTACCCCCCCTCCTTCCTGTCCAGGCCTTTTTATCAGTATTCAGCGCTGCGGTACTTTGACATCTTTATTCAGTCATACAACGCCGTAGCGAAATTAATTTTATATCATTTTATTGGGACAGATAGAACTTTATTTTGCTGGTATTTAATCAACACTTGGGGTTTTTTTTATTTTCTACTATATAAAAAAGTAGCGAACATGTTGAAAAAAAAACTGTTTTCCCTTCATTATGTTTTTATTTATTTATTTATTTATTATTATCCAAAAAGACGGGGTCACGTTGGGTAAATAGGTAAAAGATGGACACTGGCACTCCAGAGCAAATCCAGTACGTCTATTTGTTTACGTACTTGTTGCAAATGCAAAACACAAGATACACAAGATACAACGTTTCGGGGTCTCACAGGATCTCCCTTCATCAGACAAACAAGTGATGTAAAATATTAGACGCCAAACATGTCAAGCTTTAAAATTGCGTCGCCCGCGAAATCGCAAACAAATACCATGCCCAAAATTGTCCATAGGCGACAACGCTTTAAAAACGTTTACCACTCCTCAATTTAGTGGTAAAGTGACATTAAAGGATATTTCCCCCCCCCACCCCCAAAGGACCCAGCGCCCTGCAGCCCCCCGACACCTCTATCTCCTGGGAACCCTGCTGGAAGACCTTACCCACCCGGACGCTCTGGGACCTCACACTCAGCCGGAAACCCTCCTGTCCAGTCCGGACCTTCATAATCGCAAGTACCCCCTCAAGGGGATTCAGCAGCCTCTTATATATCTACGCATTGGCTGATGCCATCATATGTGAATATACCTGACTAATGGGACTGTATGATTACTCCCTGCAGCCCCCCGACACCTCTATCTCCTGGGAACCCTGCTGGACGACCTTACCCACCCGGACGCTCTGGGACCTCACACTCAGCCGGAAACCCTCCTGTCCAGTCCGGACCTTC